AACCCTGTGGTATAATAATAAGTAACTAGGTTTTGATGGTACATATTGTTTTATTTAATAAATCCTAACATTAGTGAGTGCCCTTTTAACATGATATGACCGCATCATTAGCACCTAATTTAGATGGTGTTAGCAATATACTAATTTAATTCCCATGACTGAAATATTGCAGTGCTACACGGTATCTAAAGTCCAGGCTTTGAAAACTTTGATTTCAGATTCCCTAATCCAAAGAGAACAAAATATGTTGTAGTTTAATATATATTTTTTTAAACACAGATGTAAACAAGTAGAACTCAACAAGTCCAGTCCTTCATGTTACTAATTTGTATGCCTCAAATACCCCTAACATATACTGTAAACAGGAAGGAAGCAATTGAAGAAAAAACATTTCAGACATTTGACCTTTCTGTGACCTTGGCCCTGATTGGATCAATTCCAAAATCTAAACAGTTCGTCTGCTGGTTGCAGTGATCATTCCACATCCTGTTGTAGTGATTTTCCATAATAATAATAATAATAATAATAATAATAATAATAAAGGGACATAAAGGCCACTGGATCCTGAGAATGGCCTCAGATCACCAGAGCAGTTGTGTATCTAACCCAGTTAAAATGGAAGACAGAATTAACACAGTGAGATGAGAAGATGCTTATTTATCATGACTCTACTGTTCAGCAGTGTTGAGGAGCAGTATCAAGTATCAACGCTATAACATTAACTCATTAACTTCCTGTTTTAGTAGCTGAACTAATTTTCAAAATAATGTAGGTTTTCCAGCAACGAGCTACTTTTTCCACCAAGAAAAGTTATAACACATTACACCGCTATTTCTCTCCACTACACTACTGACTACTGACTGTCCTGCTGTCCTTTTCCTCTCGCTGTCTGACACAAGGTGGAGCTGTGACACCAAAGAGGTCACACAGAAACACTGGTGTATGGAACTAGGAATTATAAACTATCCATTCTATTATTATTATTATTATTATAATAATTATTATTATTATTATGCATATAGCTATGCATACATTGTGACCAGTATATCCATTATCTTTAAGTGTCCAAATATTTTTGGGGCCATATATATAGTCCTGTGCAAATGTCTTAGGCAACCTAGTTATTTTTAAATACAAAATTTTGTCTTAAATGATTATTTTATGACTTCTGCATTATTGGGTCAATAAAAAAAAAATGATTCCAAACATTTCTTTTCCAACATAAAATTAAATGTTACAGGAAAACGTTTGTATGGCAGTAAAGAAAGCAACGTATTATATAATACACCACTTCTCAGACAAAAATCATAATAAAGTCTGTCCGGGTTTATCTGCGAAAACAGAAACAGTTATGACAGTCAGAGTCTCCAGAAGAACTGTGGCAGATTCTCCAAGATGCTCAGAAACACTTACCAGCTCATTTCCTTATAAAATTGCACAAAGTGTACCTGAGACGACGGATGCATTTTAAATAGCAAAGGGTTATTTAATACTGACTTTGTTTAGTTTATTATTGTTTATTGTTTTTAATAGTGGATTTTTTATGTACAAATGTTTAATTTCATTATTTTGAAGGCATCTTTGTTTTATAGCATTTCTTTGCATGTGCCTAAGACTTTTGTACAGTACTGTGTATATATATGTGTGTGTGTGTGTGTATATGTGTGTGTGTGTGTATATATATATATATATATATATATATATATATATATATATATATATATATATATATATATATAGTACTGTATAATATATGTATATATATTATTTCTCGATAAGTTACGATGCTGATGGCCAGCGAGTGGTGGACTGAAGCATTAGAGTTTTTGAATTCTTCAAATATGTGTACAATACACTTGTGCTAATACTGCAAACATATGGCTATATGGATGCACATAACCACATTTAGGTAGCATTTCCTTGCTGATTCAATCTGGGTGAAAGAAATGACAGCAGAACATATTTGAGCTACAGAGAGTTCCCTGATATTGACAGCACAACTATCTAACAGCAGAATGGGAAATAAAAAAAATAATAATGAAATGAAATGCTCGGTGGTTCAGACACACCACCTTGTTGAGTCACACCAGAGAATGCTTAGCCATATTTAATTTTGTTACCTTCTAATGCTCAACTTTTCTTCCGTTATATGAGTCAGAATCACGTAAACACTCTGTTATTATTAGGCAAAGCCATCAACGTATCCAAATCATATCGAATATAAATATTGTCTATAGTAACACCACTAATATTCTGTACATGTATGTCTGATTTTTTAATCCCACTGGTATGTGGAATGTTCTATAGGTGGCACCAAGGTTCAGGATTTTAATATAAAGTCTTGCAGCATGGCAGATGAGTGTGTAAGTGGGAGCATGAACCTGGGAGTGGTGAAAGTGAGAGTCAATTCCAAATGCTGCAGCACTGACCTCTGCAACACTGAAACACTGCCAGGTAAAACATAGCGCTCTTGGAACTGGCTCAGTCTTTTATTTTTATCATCCATTTTATTTAAACCTTATATGTTTTAAATTTCACATTAAAAGCGTACAATTTTAAAAAATGTAATCTTTGGCAGTTCCTCTTTTTCGGTGTGTTGTATGCCTGGTGAGTCATAAGACATGTTTGAATTTTGTAATCTAACTACAGTAGATTATAATTTACCTCCAGATTAGCTGTTTTATATTATTGCAGTAATTCTTGGTGACGTTTGAGACACAGTGAGCAGTTTGTTTGATTTTATTTCTCTGTTAAGCTCTTCCACAGCAGGCTCCCAATGGGAGAAAGTGTTACACCTGTGATGCTAACGGCTGCTCAGGAACAGTGAGCTGTAGAGGAAATGAAGATCGCTGCATCAGTGTATCAGGTGAACTTGATCATTTCTGCTACGGGTGTAAGCTAATGTAATATGAATACATTATTCAGAATGAACATACAGTATAATGTGTTCTGAACTCTCTCTCTCTCTCTCTGTCTCTCTCTCAGTTAAACAAATAAGCAAAACTATGTCTATGAAAGGATGTGTATCCAAGAGTGTCTGCGCTGTGTCTAGCTCAACAAGTGTGGCAGGAATCAGCATATCACATTTGCAGTGCTGTGAGGGGAATCTGTGTAACGGTGCTGAGAGCTTCACACTGAGTTTCCTCCTCATGATCATCCCTCTGCTCTCCTCCATCCTCTTCTGAGCTCTCTACTGATGGAGCAGCTCATTTTATTGGTTTGCCTTACTGTTAACTGTGGTATAGTGCCATTTCAAGCAAATGTATCAGTCATGTCTGTTACTGTTCTTTTTTTCGGAAATCAATTAAGAAGTCAAAAAGACTTTAAACCGTGAGCAGCAAAATACACACAAATATAGGAACTATTAATAAACTGAATTTTTTTTTTGGTTAAAATTGCAGCCTGCACATGAAATGCCTTATTTTTTATTATTATCAAATCTTTTATTGTGAGAGAACCAAACTGCTTTGCGGCTGAGATGTTTATTCTGTTTATAATAAAAGAGCATACAGTACATTCTTGTGTGTGTGTGTGTGTGTGTGTGTGTGTGTGTGTGTGTGCGCGCACTTGTGTGTGTGAGCACTTGTGTGTGCCAGCTGAGTCAAAAGTGATTTAAACGGAAGAATGAAGGATTTGGGGTTTAATGGTTGCTTTTGGATTGGAAATTTGGGTTTTGTGCAGATGAGTGAGGTGTTTTGGGATTGTGATTTAGGTTTTGAGAAAATGGGGTGATGTTCAGTAAAGTGTGTTACAGCTTTTTAGAAAAACTATAAAAGTGCTAGAAACAAAAACAAAGGCTGAGGTCTTCGGTAGATATCATCCATAAATGCAATTAGGCACTCTGTATTTTAGGTGTATGTACCAGTTCAAGATTTATGATATTAATTCAGGAATGATATTCCACACACGGGGCTGTTGGTACCTCTCTGACCCAGAGCACTCACCTTTGTTTGGTGGGTTTGGTGTAGTTGAGTATGCTGTTTCTCACTGAGATATCTGCTATTCATTTGACATCCAGCCTCCTGTCCATTTAATTTGCGAAGCTTTATTTCATTGGTTTTGACACAAAGTACATAAACATTTGCAAATTAAGTTGTAGAGATACAAAGTGTTGCTGGTGGTAGAAAATGAGCAAAAAATGTTTGCAAGAATTTTGAAGAATGTGTTCACTGAATGCATTTGTGTGAAAATGTGAGATGGAAAATAATTAAATGAATAAATCTAAATGAATAAATTAAGACTTTAAATAAATAATTCATATTTAATTAATGTGAAAGAAAAGCTATCAATATATGTCTGACTTAAATATCAGTAAATAAGTATATAACATCAGTCTACTATATTTATTAGGAATGCCACTGAAAAAAAAATTAGAGTGAAAGACTGCACTTTTGTTTTTCAGCCCAAAAAAAGGCTTAAAGTCTTTTGACTAGTTAAAAACAAAGAAGAAGATGATTAAATAGGTGTACAGTGAAGTTTCAAATCTACCACTTTAGAAGTGAGTTTAATGCTAATTATAATTGGACAGCGATTTAATGCTGTTTGTTTGCTTTCTTCTTGGTCACAAACCACAAGGGACATTAGACAAGAGATCTGTAAAAGGATTATATTGAAAATGTACTGTTTTATGTTTCTTACTGTTCATAGTGTTTACCTGCCTTTCCTGCTGTGGCTCTTGGGGAAAAAGTTTGAATAGGTCCCGACAAAACAATAAAAATGTATTTACCATCAGGTCCACACGAAGCGCCATTGTGCTAAATGTGTGAACAGCTTTGAAAAAATAAACTTGGTCGTAATTAATACTGTACAAGGAGTCCAACCAAATCTGAGCTACTTCAGTTTCTTCTATAGTCGTTGTTCTTTCAGCTGCTCCAGTTAGGGGTCGCCACAGCGGATCACTGGTCTGCATATTTGATTTGGCACAGTTTTTACACTGGATGTCCTTCCCCAGTTTTATCCAGGCTTAGGATCGGCACTGAGAGCGTACGGGCTGGGGTCAGTTATCTGGCTGGGAGTCGAACCCAGGCAATGGCGGTGAGAGTGCCGAGGCCTAACCATTAGTCTTCCAGGGACCCAGTTTCTGCTCTAGTCAGTACCTTCAGGTAATTTAATGCTATCTTTACAGGAAAGGTACCTTACAGTATTCACATTTTCACTACTGCATAGTTACTGTACACCACTGTAACACAGGATGTACTTCATACTTATACACAGAACAGTTGTGAAGACATTATATTTTAGAGCATTTTTACTTCTTATTAAACTTTGACCAGTGATTTGAATATGCAGTTTTATTTTATTATTATAGTTTTATTTAATATGCAGTTTGTGTTGGGGCAGGACGGTGCTTTTCTCCAAAGGTAATGAAGCTTTCAGTGAATCAGTTGGTCAGTAGTTCCTTGGTGTGTATAGTTTAATTATTGTGCAAAATGAAAAGGTTTTTTTTTTTAATATATATGCAACTGCCTCTGTTTTTTATTTTTGTTCCTGTTTTTCTTCGGTGCTGTCACTGACTTGTCATCATTGTGTGTCATCAGCATCTGGAACATGCACCAACGTACAGAGCAGAACGAAAGTCAGCAATACGAAGTATTTAGAAGGGAGAAGTAGAGTTCACAACTGTCCTTGTGTGTACGGTGTTTAAATATTGTGTGAGAAGTGCAACCTCAGAACTCAGATCACTGCTTTCTGTTCTCTCCACCGGCTTCCTGTAGCCTCATCACCTTTAAAACAATGACATTTGACTACAAAGCCAACTATATTTACAACATTTAGCAGAGTTCCCTGATGGAGCAGCTCATTTAAAGCCTTATCTAATACACAATGAGAACTAGAAGTAGAGGTTTCTTGTTGGGGTCCTGACTGTGGTGAGGATGCAAATGTGTATATATGAATATTCCACATAAAAGTAAATTATTTTTAAGAAAATTAGAAGTGAGAAGAATAAGAAGCGAGGAAAAAGTGTTAACCACTGCCATTGCATGTATGATGTTTAAATACTGTGTGAAATCTGGAACCTCAAAACTAAGACCACTGTTAAGCCCCTCCCTTAAAAAAAAACCTAAGGCCTATTTAAATAATGTGAAATAAATCCCTCCCTCCATACACACACCCCATCATGCATAACCATAAAACCAGGCTTCCTCTCAGAGCTTACTCACATTTGATTGTATTTTAATGTGCGACCAAGACTTATTGTGAATTAATAACTGCTTCAGAAAGAGACGTATCACTTATGGAGTGTTGTCAGGGGAACCTGTGCAACGGTGCTGAGAGCTTCACACTAAGCTTCCTCCTCATCATCCCTTTGTTCTCCTCCATCCTCTTCTACTTAGCTCTCTACTGATGGAGCAGCTCTCTTAAAGCCTTATCTCACTGTTCTGTGAGAGGACCACATCATTTAAAAAAAAATTTTTTTTTTGCTTATAAGTCAATTAAGAAGTCAAAAATATATTTTCATCTTTAGGCAGTAAAACACACAAATTTACTAACCAATAATAAACTGAATATTTCTAACTCAGGGCTATAGATTTTTTTAAAAAATGGTCAAAATGCAGCCTGTTCATGAAATGCTTTATGTTTTTATTACTATCAAATGCTTTATTGTGAGAAAACCAAATTGCTTTGTGCTTGAGGTGTTTACTCCATTTCTATAATAAAGGTTTATTATTATTATTATTATTATTATTATTATTATTATTACTTTAAAAAGTATAGACACATATGTATGAGCAGTGCTGTGCAGGGTTACTACTAGTGCATGACAAATGCACACAAGAACTTTATGATATAACTTTATGATTATAAGACCCTTATAATCCATTACAAATAAAACCAGGTGAAACTTTTAAAAATGGCTCTAGATAATAGACTGATACACAGATTTTTGATTTGACATTATGCCATTTTCATTGTTATTTTCATTTTCGAATTGTCATTCCTACATTTGAACAAAGAATTTTACTCTGAACAAGTAAAACACCCAAAACTCTATTCATTTTAATTTACTGGAGAATTCTCAGTAGCTTATGAGCTAAGGAACTCACAAAAGTCCACTTTCTTTTCCGTCTCTTGCCATTCAGTAATCATCATGAATAAAGCTTCTCATAAGTTTTATGGTGATTTATATCAGTTACCACATTCTGACAGTTGACCAGGTTATTAATGCAGTGCAAGGACAAAGGAAAAGACTGGGGTGTTTTATAACATGGATATAAATATTTTATGACAACATAATGATTTTAAATAGCCTATAGCCTATTAAACTCGACACTTCACTTCATCATGTTTGGTATTGGGAGGAAACGAGGTATTAATTCAGAATTACAGACTTAGAACACTTAAAAACAATAAGAAGTGAGAAGAATAAAAAGAAGTAAAAAGAAAAGAGTTAACTACTTTTCTCATGCATATGGTGTTTAAGTGTTGTGTGAGTAACGTGTATTGAGAGAACACACCACATGAAACTAGGCCATTAAAAAAGCCACAAACACCTATTCACATTTATATTTACTGAGCTGTATCCAGTGGCCTTCAGAAGTGCTCTTTAGTATCTATCAAAAACACATCCTCATGTGCTTCATCCCCTGCTTTAGTCTCCATTAGTCTAGGTACTAATAAAGAACCTGCATGTTTTGATTGAAGCAGGCATGGCGGATCACTCACGTACTGTGGGGTGAGACCAATCAGTGCTTTATAGGTCATTACTGGTATTTCATAATCAATGTGAAATTTTACTGGGAGCCAGTGCAATGTGGATAAGATAGGGGTGGTATGATCAAACGTCCTGGTTCTAGTAAGGACTGAATAGAGTTTGTGTATGCACCTACTGAAACATCTAGACTGCAAGGCATTACTATAGTCTAACCTAGAGCTAATAAATGCATGGACTAGTTTTTCTGCAATATGTAATGGCATATTTCTTAGCTTATCAATGTTTTCGAGATAGGAAAAAGGCTTTCCTATTAATGTCTTCTACACTATCGTGTCAAATGAGAGACTGGAGACAATCACAACATCGTTCACTGAGTGAATTTCTCGGTCAGAAAGGTGATCAAAACTGTCGGCTCAAATGATATGGCAGTGTGAGAGCATAAACAAGTCGACAACAAGTGCTAGAAATAAAAACAGTTTTGGAGTTACAATCCCATGTCCTTAGAGTGTTTAAACTCCTTAGCAATCTTGTCTACCTGTTCAGGAGAAAGTGAGACATTTATAGACGTTTATTCACAACCTTGCTCTTCTCTTCACTAAGAACTTTTGCCCTAGTCGTTTTTCCTTTGCCTGCGCTTCGATCCCTCATCTCTTCAATCCACAACAGAGTAAGATAATAACATCCTCTGCTTGAATTCTTTCTAAAAGAGATAGAATCCTCACAAACAATGTTAAAATGTTTCGACCTTAGAGTGTAGAGCATCAGTAGAGCTAAAATAGATAACAAGCAATAAGAAAAAGGTCTGAGATATTTAAACACTTATGTAGTAGACCATCCTAAAGAACGAGATTAGGGAACAATGCCCATCTTTCCCAGACACATCTTTATGCATGGTTTGTGTTTTTGCTTCTTAATCCTCTTGCCTGAAAGTTTTCTTTAAAAAAAAAAAAAACTGCAAAAATATACAGCTTAGCAAGTAAAAACATCTTGAATATAGGCAAATTCAACTAATATTTCTCTTGCTTGGCACATTGATTTTTTGAGGTGGGGGGCTAAAAAGACTTTTTTGTTTCATTGTCAAGCTGAAATACAGAAGGAGGTCATGAGGCTGTATCAACTTTTTATCAACACTAAAAAAAAATTGTTCTGCTAAGATTACAAACCACAGATGCCAACTGCACATGCTGCTGCGCTTATAAAGTCATTTCACAGAATTAGCAGGGGCGCAGTAGTAACTTCAGAAGAAATGAAAGTAGGTCATTAGTGGGATTTGTGGGATTTTGGCCTCCCTATACACTAATGTGAAAAACTATTTTAACATGGAGAATGTTGAAAAGTTTTGAAATGCAACTAAGTGTTATGTTTAAGTAAAATATACCAAAATGTGTTTGGGCTAAAATTAACTATAAACTTCAAAAAAGATGTTGTTAAAAGGAGTTAAAATCGACTATGATAAATCAACTTAAAATGATATATATTAACATGAAGTTATGATAAATGACCATTCAATTCTGATAAATTAACTTACACACACACATATATATTCCATCTATTCTGCTATTATGTACAGTTGTATGTGCAATACAATGTTGTGCAACATCAGGCTGAGGTAATTAATTGTAGTGAATTGTCATGGAGCTCCCGTGAACTTCCCCGTGTTTCTCTGTTTTAGCTCTTCCTTGTGTTTCCAGCGTTGCGTTTATGTGTGTGTCTGGGTGTAGCACTCATCGGCAGCGCTGGGGAGCCAGCAGGTGCTTCAGCATCGCCAAGAAAGTCCACAGCACCACCATAGCACCCCCAAAACATTAGCTGGAAGCAATTTTAAACTGCTTTCTAATCAATAAATGAGTTAATAATTTACAACAACAAATAAAATGAAAACATTTGAATCATTATGCGTGCCTAACTCATGCAATGTCATGTTATGTGAATTGTGGCTACGGCTGTTGCACTTTTCGCACAGTCGTAACATTTTATCTAAAAAATAGAGCGGTTCCTTGTGCCCTGTGCCCCTAGTGACCTCGTAATTCTACCTCAGTTCCAGTTTCTAGTGGAAATGAGAATATAAACTTACCACAACCCAAGGTGGACAACTGCAAGTTCCAGTCACATTAGCAACACGAGGTCAAGTGCTAATGGGCCTATGGATATAAGCCAAAAACCAGATGAAGGACCAAGACGCCCTGTCCGCAAATACCCAAACCAGACGTTTGGAAACCAGCAAAGAAGCTTCCAATCTGGATGGTTTGACCTGGTCGACGCATTGTCCTGGTTTGAAACTTCAAATAGTAAGTGATTGGTGAATATATCCCCAGTGCTATGGGTGCTTTTTGATGTCACATTGCCCTTGACTGAAATTCTGAAATATTTGTTCTATGAATGTCTATATGCAAAATCCTTGGGAAAATTTGAGCAAGC